AGGATGCAAAGAAGGAAAAGAAAAATTTGTACCACACCGACCACCTTGGTCATCATTTCGTAGCTCAGACTTTGGATATACAAGAATGATAGCTTACAATAAAACACATTTATATCTAGAACAAGTGTCAGATGATAAAGATGGTGAAGTGATTGATAAAGTTTGGCTAATTAAAAGTAATCCTTCACCAAATTTTATCACACCTAAGTTATAATACAAATTATTTATTTCTGTTCCCACATTTGTATTATGAAACTAATGGATTTTTTAATTACAAACATGAAAGTACTGTAAATTTAGTGTATAAATATTTTATTATAGATCCTAGTTTACTATTACAATTTTTTTTAAACAAATAATTTTATGAATGTACTTTATTTATTTCTCTTATTGAACAAATAAAATAAGTTAATAGATAATAAATTTTTGTTGATATTATTTTGAAGTATTTTCAAAATGAAAGAAATTTAATCAATTATATCAATTATTTAATTGATGAAATAAAATATAATTATAGATTTTTCTTAAAATTTTGTAAATAATAGAATATAACAGGAAAATATAGATTGGATAATTCAATAAAAATAAACCGTTATAAATAATAATATTTTACTTATAAATGTCATTTGTAAAAGGCGTTTTCGCGCAATTTTATTAATGTACAAATTACTTGATTGCAGCCATTGCCCTTTTGTTGCGCAAGCAATTGTAGAATGAAACAGAAATGATGCCTTCGTTGATTAGAGAGAAAAGATGATGTTGAATGGACTATATCTTACAATTAATTAGAGTAGCCTTTAAACTTTAAAAAATCAATCGTTTTAAAAAATATTTATATATATATGTATATATAGATTGCAATTATCACTACTGAAATAATACTTAAAGATCTCTTGCAAAACAATAATGATGTAATTAAAAATTACTATACTTAGTACATAAAAATTTCAATTTACTGCACAACAATATTAAAATTAAATCATTTTCACTAAACAAAATTGATCGGTACCACTCAACCAAACAACATATCAAATAAAATTCACACAATTATTCAACATATATCCAACGAAATTACGCATAATAAATTATATATATACATAGATACATATACATTTGATTTAACAGATTAATTGATTTAAAAAAATTTGAAGACAACTCTGTTGCTATTAGGATTAGCACAAGGTGATCGTATAATTAGCCTGCCACTCGGAGGATATGTTTTTAAAAATACCTAATGATGAGTTGTAAAGCATCACAGACCTGTAAAGGCGACATTCTATTTGATCGTCTTCTTTAATTAGAAAATATTGGAAAACACATTTTGCAATAATATATTTGATAAGAAAAAACTAATCCAAGTTTTGTTAGAGTTAATACTTGACAGACTACAGCTGATAGATTTTTATTTACAATGAATTATTAATTACTTAATACATCAATTATGATGAAATAGGCAGTAATTAAATAAATATCACAAGTTTTAATTATTAAGTAAATCTTGAAAAGGATTAAAAAATTATTAGATTATGCTAAAATCGATTAAAAAAATTATTAAAAACAAAATTTATATTTAAATTATTAGACATAACCAAATTTTTGTTTTTAACAATCTACGAATTGTTTTTGACAAAGTATTAACATAAAAAAATCAAAACCATGTTCTAGTTTTTTCCAATATAAAATATTTTATTTTCTAAATGCACGAGACGATCATCATCACACTGTCGTTACATTGTTGTACAAGAAAAATGTACAAGTTTTTATCACACTTTTTCCTTCCAGTGCCACCGAGTCTGAGGCAACTATTCGATTCATCCGATCACACATACCAAAGCATAAACCAAGAATAAATAACTATCGTGTCAGTGGTTGATGGAAACTATCGAAGAGGTAGCTGCAGAATGGCTCTCTTGATATGAGAACTGTGGAAAATGCTCCTGTTCTTCTGCTATCGAATTAAGGCCGCCGCCGCTGCCAAGGCACCCCTGATCGGGAGGAGTCAGTTCCACACTTTCGCCGGTGAATTCACTATCAAAATAACGCGTATCCGTGTCCGAGGTCACTTGAGGCTTAAAGGGCGGTGAAATTTTCTTTTGGACAAGGTCTGACCAGTCTATCGATGAGAAAAACGCATGGTCCATTATGTCCTTGGCGTCATTGGGTCCGCCCCCTAGTCTCCTACTTGGATCTTTAATTAATAAACCTATGCAAATAAGAAGTTCAATTAGGCCAAAAACAAGTTCAAATTAAATTCAAATTAAAAAAAAAACCTAATGAGCTTTTTGCAGTAATTATCAATTGAATACTTTTTAAATTTGTTTAGAAATAAAGAACTCTAGATAAATATCACATTATAATAATTTTCATTATATTGTAGCAAAAAATTTTTGCATTGCTTAAATTCTCAATATATCCATTTTTTTAATTTTTTGGTTATTATATTATTTAATAAATACATTTAGTTAAAAATTATGTCCAAAAATAGAGCATAAAATGAAAAAATACAATATAAATTAACTAGATACTGCAAATATGCATCAACTATAATTTAAATATCGAATAATGATATTTTATATTTCGTATGTAATTACCATGAAAGTAAATATCAAATAATGTATGGTAATTACTATAGAATTTAACGAAATTTATAAATTTTCACTACTGATCTTTTATGTACCTATAAAATTACAATTTTTGTACAAAAATGGACTAAAATCGATTATAGATACTTTCACTTGTATTTAAATGAATAAATATATATAAATTGAAATAAATTGAAACGTTACATGTCTTACCTCCTAACATATCTTTAGCTTCATTACTAATATTTTTAGGAAATCTCACTGCTTCTAATAAAATAAGTGTAAAAAGTTTTTCATGATCTTTATTATAAAATGGAAGTCTTCCACACATCATTTCATACATAACTACTCCTACTCCCCACCAGTCTACAGCTCTTCCATAATCGTTATCTTCTAATACTTCAGGAGCTAAGTATTCTGGTGTACCACAAAATGTTTTCGTCGTTCTACCTATGTTAAATAAAATAATATCTTAATAACAAATATATTTCGCTATAATATTACAAGTTAATATTTAATTAAAAAATTATATTAATATTTAAAGATTCATTCAAAATTTTATACTGCATTTACTTTATTACAAATAATTATTTCGATTTTCTACCATAGGTAATATCTTCTTTACAAAGACCAAAATCAGCAATTTTTATATGACCATCTTTATCCAGCAACAAATTTTCGAGTTTTAAATCTCGATAAATGATTCCTTGTGAATGCAAATATCCAAGCGCCGATATAATTTCAGCCCCATAAAATCTAGTTCGATCCTCGCTAAATACTCGCGATCGGCTTAAATGAAAAAAAAGTTCTCCACCATTAACATACTCCATCACAAAACAAAGTCTATCTGCAGTTTGAAAGCTATATTTTAAAGACTGAAACAAAAACATTACAAATTCTATTATCCTAATATATATCGCTACATGTTTGAATATTACTTACTATTAAAAATGGATGACTGGTTGTTCTTAAAACTCTATTTTCTGTTAGCGTATGTGCTACTTCATCTTTTCGAATTATTACTTCTTTTCTAAGAATTTTAATGGCATATAAATGACCAGTTGCTTTTTCTCTGCATAGGATAACTTTACCAAATGTGCCTTTTCCCAAAACTTTCAAAAATTCAAAATTCTCTAATGTCTAAAAATTTAAGTATAAACATGTAAAAACGATATTATATTAACAAATACGATTTATTTATTTTCATATTTACTTACAACTTTCTTCTTTCCAGAAGTTTTACTATTAGATGTTCCTTGAACACTAAATTTGGCTAATAACTCATCAAAAATACATCCATCATTAGAAACAACCCCAAGAGATCCGCAAGAATCAGATCTTCCACCTCCAGTCGATTCCATATCAACATCTTCAGAAGACGAGGATTGCTGCATTTGGGAATGTGGTTGCTGTTGACTTTGCTCTTCATTTGCGAGTCTATCTGCCACATATCTAATAACCAATAATATTTATTGTCTATAGGCTTCTAACTCAATAACATTAATTAAAGATATTTGGTTGAAAATAAAAATTAAACAGCTAAAATTTACAAATAAAATTACTTATACAGATATTAAAAACTTATTTTAAAACATACTAAACTCAATATTTAATTATTCTGAAAAAGTTGACATAATATATTTTTAATAATATTATTACTTTAAAATCTTATTTACTCTTTGTATAAGATCTTGCTAGAAAGATCTTTCTTGCAGAATAAATTGAAAAATACCTTATAGCAGTCACCCAATCTTCTCTATCTTGTTCTGTTTCAACATGAAACGTTCTTTCAATGACTGTTGTCCATTGTAAACCCCTAATCACAAATGTGAAAGGTTTAGGTCTGTCAACAGACATAATTTGACATCCACGAACAGTAAAATTATTTAATGGTTGTGCAGCAGCTGCCATTTGTTGATCAGGCTTGGCTTTAAAACCAACCAGAGTTCCATCGTCTCTCAAAACGAAATATCGGGATCTCCAGTTTTTTATGTGTTCACCTATATTCAAATAATTAAGTTAGTGTAGTTCTACATATATAAAAGTTATAAATTAACTTAACCACACAATATATAAATTTTTATATTTTCATGAGTACCTAGAATTTATTAAATAATAATAATATAAAATTGATATTATTATTTATACAAAATTTCAATTAAAAAAAATTTTAATACATTAAAGTAAAAAATATTACTCAATTTGCAATTTATTTGAATATTAATAAATAAATATAAGTATACATGTCTTTAAATTTACTTTCTTAACTCAAGAATATTACAATATTTATTATTACAACGGGAACAGCGATGGAAATAAATATCATAAAGATTATACAAAGATATCTATTAAGTATACCATTTGTTTTTTTTTTGTTTTTTTTGTTTTGTTTTGCATGAGTATCTGAAAAAATTATTTTAGTAATTAAATTAAATGATAGAAATATAAATTGTTCATTTATTTACTCAATGGAAATTCTAATATTTTATTTTCAATATTGTTCGGCAGTTACGTTTCTTATGAATAAGAAAAATTAAATTACAAAGTTGGCTGAAAGTATCCTGAAATTACATTTATCGTTTATAAAATGAATTAAATTTACCAATATAAAAATTGGTAAATTTACTTCAAATATAAATATTTCTATTACCTTTGTCATTAGTTTATTACATTTATTTTAAATAATTAACGAATGGATCGAATGATTTTATTTCCCGTTCTAACAACATCTTTGCCTAGACATCGAGACACAGACGTACACGCACACAATTGAACTAACTAAAGATCTGTCTTTGGACAGTAGTCGGACACTTACACGGTTTACAGAAAGTAAGAATCCGTTAATTACCTTCAATCTTTATTTAATTGCATGCAATAAAGTTTCAATAGAGTGCAGCTTACGCAGCATAGCTGCACTGAGAGCGATTGCAATATAAAAATACAAAAGAAAGAAAAGAAAACAATGGAATAAATAATAAGAATAAAAAGAAAGCTAAGAAAAAAAGTAGCCAAGAGTTAGAAAAGAAGGAGTACCGCGTTTTTGGAGCCAGCCCTCCTTGACGACACGTTGACTGGCGCCGGACGCTGCGACGCTCATCGCCGCGTCCCCCATGGCCCTGAGTCGTCCTGTCGTCCAGCGGCGGCAGTTTGCCCGCGGACCGAGACGACACCGTCTTTAACAATTGCGGCTCTTGGCTGCTGTCGATAATTATTTCGTTGTTATAAGTAGTCGACAGCGGCGTACCGCAGAACAGAAAAGACTGCACGAGTACAACGACAATACCGATGCCGAGTTGTTGACGATGAGCAGCAGTCCAGGGCGAGACGAAGAGTCGGATCACAACCAGTGTGTGCGCGCGGGGAAAATGCGCAACACGAACAAGTCACACCAACACAACATTAGACGACTGCAAAGAGAGAGAGAAAGCATCGCGGCTTTTGCAGTGCCACTCTGCGTATCCTCCGTTCCCCCTACCCGTCCTCCTTCTACTCATCGTCCTCCACCACCGCCGTCACTACCACTGCCGCCACTACCATCCCCACTATGACGCACTTCGTTACTTTAACACTATTGCGTTTGTGTACGTGCACATGCACTAAGCCCACAGTTGCGTGCCAGGAGAGTCGGATCGGTGTTGAGAGAGAGTTCACCGAGAGATTTCCAATCGTACTACTACTTTACATCTACGCGCCAGTTGAGTGTTCCCCGTGTGATATGTGTGATGAGTCCAACGCAAAAGTAATGAGAATGGTCCTTTTAATGCTGCTATACTTTCTTTCCTCTATTTATTTTTCTCATCTACATCGCTCTAATTAACTTTACACTTTTCTCTCTCTCTCTCTCTCTCTCTCTCTCTCTCTCTCTCTCTCTCTTTCTATCTCTGTCTATCTATCTATATATCTATCTATCTATCTATCTATTTATTTATTTATCTATCTATCTATTTATCAATTTACCTATCTATCTATCTATATATATATATATATATATATATATATACATATATCTGTACTCTTAATTTTCTCTTGTTCACCTTATCACGCAGCTGAAGCTAATATCACTAAATATGTAAGTCGACACAAGTAATTGCTGTGATTTAGTGTTAAAGGGGCATTATTACAACACACTACAAGATCGCACAAGAAAATAGTACAACCGAATGAGAGAATATGATAAGGATGGAGTGAGTTGCGTTTGTCGCCTATAATAAAAAATGCAGGGAGATAGAGGTTACCGAATATTCTTAAATTGTAATATGTAATATATATTATTTTAGTCTTATCTTTGCAGTTTTTACATTGTACGTTTACACATTATTTATCGTTATTGTATTACTTTTTTATGTTATTTTTTAGACAGTATTTTTATTAGGTTTTTAAATTAAATGATTGGAGCGTAAAGTTTGTTTACAATTGATGTTAAATAGCGTTTATTGTCTAACATGTATGAATTAAAATATTATTGATAATGATCAATGCCATGAAATTATAAAAAATAAAATCGTGGACAAACAAAACTTATTCTCCCATTATTAAATTATAAAATATGGTTAAATTGTAATGTATTTTTTATTTATCTTTAGTTAAGTGGCAATAAATTCAGTATAATATTATTTAAAATTGAAGAAAATTGAAATGTCATTGTATTACATATTAATTCAAATTTGATAATATTTATCTTTTTATATACCCGCTTACTTAAAATTTTATTACTATAAAACATTTTAGTTCCGCGCCCATAATTAAATTTCGTTCGTGAAAAGTGTAATGAATTGCTTTAATTTATTTAATATAAAATTATGTTTGGTTACGGTAATGTGTTAATTATATTGATGTAATTACAACAGAATTCAAATTGGTCAAAAATATTTCAATAATGGATTAATTGCATAAACTGTATTCAAAGTATAAAAATTTTTTTATTTCTTTCATAACTATAATAATTGTATACTAAACCATTGCTTAATTGAACTTTTTCAAAGTATGTACTAGATTTTTTATAAAATTTTATTTTAAATTGAATAAAAACTATTGATTATAAAGTAGCGGCTAGAATTATATAACATACATGCGTTTAATATGTCAATAAAGTTTGATCTCTTTTAAAATGTCAAATATTAAAAAAAAAAATTAAATACATTATAATAAAATTATATTATTAATCTCATATGAATATTAGTAGTTTTTATAAATGCCATATTGCTCCTAAGCATATCTTATAAATAAAATCCAATAATTTACCTTTCTTCATAATATCCAGACTAACACGTAGTAAATTATCTTAATAATAATAATAATAATCATCATCATCATCATTATCATCATCATAATCATAATTGTAATCATCATAATAAAATGAAAATTAAAAATAAAGTGATTATCAAGAATATAATTGAAATATTTGAGAAGCTAAATTTTAGTTGTTAGGATTATTCAGCATTGATTATTCTGATTATATTCACTTATTTGTAATGACCAACAGTTATCTAGTCTATAAGAAAATATAGAGGACGCATAGACGTATTTATGCATTCAAATAAGCATAAATCGCATCCGAGTAAGTGTATTGTAAGCCTATTGCAAATACTTCGTGAACAGGTATGCGCATGCGTGTGGGTTGCCGGTAATGCAACTACAAGCGCACGCTTCTTCATTTGAATTCAATTTACAAAGTTTCACTGGGAGAGTCAACGCAATCATTAGATATTGAACCTAAGAGTTTGTAATTAAAAAGTGATGAGCATGTTATAAGAAAACTTGCGTTTAAAAGACTAATTTACGTAATCATAAGCATACTTTTTCCTTAGCTTGAGAAATTTTTTGAAAACAAAACTGAAGGAAGCTTACAGATAAGGACAAATAAGATGATTTTATCGTTAGGTTGTAATTAAATGTTTTAGTTGATTTAAATATGTGGACATTTTCATTTAACGGATAAAAATGTTTAATATTTAATTTTTAATTAATTAATTAAATTTAATTAAATAATTAATATTTAATATTTAATAATAAGGCTAAATATTCGTGTATATACATTTTTCACATTTATATTTACAACATATATTAAAAAAACATCTCACACATCAACAGCATTCCGTAACTATTGTAATTTAATATAATTAAATGAATTTTATATTAACACAATTATAGTAACCATATTGTGTTTTATAATTTTATAATAATTTTATATTGAAATTAAAATTAAAAGTTAAAAATCTCGACTTGTACATATATTATATGTTTTTATATATTATATGTTATATATTATATATATATGTTATATATTATATATATATATTATATATTATATGTTTTTATTGTAACTGATATTCTGCCGATGCTTACGAATGATTATTAATTATGCATGTAAGAATGACAAAAATATTAATTTTTCTTTTAATAGTAATATGAAATGATACTTATATCTAAGGTGCAATATAACTTTTATGTAAGTATAATTTTACTCCCATAAATTTTACTATATTGGCATAATAAATATCATACTACGTACAAGATATGTATTATAAAAGAAATTGTATATCGGCAACTACAAAAAAGTTTCTGTTATACCAAGAGATATGTTATATCGAACCCTTATAGGTCATCTAATGAATTTGCTAGATTTAAGTTAAAAATCAATGTGTGTCCTGATACTTGAAATAATCATTTTTAATTTATGAAACTTTATCATTATTAAAGTTCAATTTAACTTATAATATTTCTTCCATATATATTATGTGTTAATATGTATAACATTTCTGCTGAAATAATCATGTTCTCGGGTAAATTGTTTTCAAAATATAAAATTAAATAACTATATATAAATAATCAAATATATATAAAATCAAATATAAATACAGATATTGTTTTTCATAAAAATAAAAAGTAATATTTTTCAAACTACTATTATTTTCAAAAATTAATTGCCCTCTCTTATGGGAATATTACTATTTAAGAATATATGAGAATCGACTACGTGGACAAATATTTTTTATATTGAAATTCAACTGTTAGCCCTACAAGTACGTGAATTTATTATTAATTTATTATTAACTCTTCACAAGAATGCTAACATTAAAACATTATTTTTAGAAATAATCGTGTTTACGTATGTTTTTCTTTATAATTGAATTTTTCAATCCGAGTTATTGTAGTAATTGTAATAGAAATTTATTTTCCATTATTAAATTTCTGTTTTTGCTAACCATAAATTTTATATAAAAATTTTGGACACATAAAAATTAAATATATTCAATTTACATTAACATTTTCTGAATAAATATATTACTATTATATTATTTATAAGAAAATCTTTAAGATTTTCTGAATTTTAAAATTCTAAAATGCTCGTATATATATTTCTGTTAATTTAATTACTAAACATATATTATTAGATTTCGATTGTAAGGAACAGAAAAATATTGTTTAAAACAACGAACATTATGTCTTTAAAAATTGCATCTAGTCATCAATGCAATTTTTCGTAATATAAAATATCGAAGAAATTATAAATGTTTTCAATTATTCAATAATATAAGACTACATTGTTTAAAAGCGTAAAAATAAAACAAAGAACAAACACTTTTAATTTAAATATTTGCAAAAAATCTTAAAATTTTGAAGTTCTTAATTCGTTTTAAAATAAGGATTCACTATTTTTAAATATACGCTACTTTTATCTATAAGAACATTATTACCATAATATTGTATAAATTAATTAATATTGTAAAATCAAAAACATGTCAAAAATATTATTATAAATATTATTAAAAGTTGTAAAACTGTGTAACACTTTAGTAAATATACAAATATAAGACAAATATATCATAGATATATATATAAGATAAGACATAATAATTAATCTACGCAAATTCAATTGATACGAGTGCTTTCTTTAAATAATATTCTTTAAATATTTTTGTACAATATTATTTCAAGCTATATAAGTATACATTTGTATTTTTATTTCAATAAAATTTAAAAGAGTATGAACACATTTCTAAAAAGTTATTTAATCAAACGGAATATTATATAAGCAACTATATACTAAAACCAGTGTTTCGATTAAAAAACTGTAGTATATCATATTATGTATATCATATATAGAAATATAATGAAAAAACGTTTTGAAATGAAAAAAAGGAATTATGCTGCCGAAGGTTAACTGAGAAAAGTAATTTTGAAAATTCGTAAAAAAGCACTAGACTAAACAATTTGATGTCTTATTTCATGAAATCAGTATTATCACTTTTAAAATGCTTTTAAATCAACAATCTATCGAGAAAAACAATAATATCAAGACAAGGGTGACTGTGATTAACCAATATACATTTATACATATCAAGCTCTCATAATAGCTCATGGTCGTATATCTCACAACAGTATATTCTGTCATGGACAAAGTTCTGATAATTATATTGTGCAGTTGATTAATAAATCATAGTTAGTTAGGACATTTATTAACATAATGTCTAAGCTAATGCCTTTTACTACCAAACGCTATGTGGATTACCTGCAAAAAACTAAATTAAACTTCTTCACCATAGGTAATAATTATAAAAATTTACTTATAAAATTGATGCAACTCCTATATTATTCAAAATTTTAGTCACTGATTTAAAAGCTCCATAAATGATTGAAGGCTTGAATGGTTTTATTAGATCTTATATTTCATCTTTTAATTGAAAAAATACTCTACTTTCACGATATCGTTAACATTTCAAAAGAGTATTTAATTTTCTTTTATCTTATAAAAATGTATATAAAGACTTATTAAAGTAATACTTTGTTTTTTAATTAATAATGAACAATACCGAGGGAAGAAATCCGCTATTATAAAATGAAAATTAAAACTTTCAATATATCAGCTATTAAAATAAAAAATGTTGAAGTTAATTGGCAATTGTAAAGTTAATTGCAATATTGATATAAAAATTTTATTTAATTATTTTTTATCAGTTTTATCATCTTATTTATTTATTATGCAATTGTGTTCATAAACTGAAAAACGAACGACTATACTTGATTAATAAAGGATGAACTTATATTTTAAAATTTGAATATATAAATATTCAAATTTATTAATATAATTTGGTAATGATCTAATAGTAATTTGATACATTTGTACAATTTAAAAAAAATTTTAAATTATGATTTTAAAATAATTTCTTTAAAAATAATATTATAATAAAATTCCGAATAAAATAAATTTTCAATATTTGCATACGGATATATTTGACACATTTATAATACTTATGAATTATTCCAAATCATCAAATATAATATAAATTGCGCTTAAAAAAAACTTGACCTTGAAGGGGTCGCTGCTACGTGCACCAATGTTCCTTGTATTTGCTGGCATTGCGACCTTCTTATAACATTTACAGCTCGTCGGTCTATTAAATCAGGTTGTTACTGTCCAACGAACAAACAATACCAAGTTTTTCGAAAATTTAACAGAAGATTATTATTACCTAAGTGCATTTTACCACTTAAAAATTTTTACCAACCTTTATTTTCTTTAAATCATACAAGAAATATATCATCGGTTAGCATACAAAGCATGGCATTGAATAAACTTAGTATCGACAAAGTCGATCTTGCCGGTAAAAGAGTCTTAATAAGGTAAATATGTTAATATATTGTTTTACATATCATATTTTATGTCATATTTTTATTCAATTATGTAAATTTCATCTTGTACAGTAATATTTTTTAAATTCAATAGTTTTTTTTAATGTTCAACTCCAAATTATTCCTGGTTGATAAGTTAATATTCTAAATTACTTCTTCTATATAGGTAATAAAATGTTAATTAAAATATTATTTTTAGAGTGGATTTTAATGTACCTATTAAAGACGATAAAGTAGTAAATAATCAACGAATCGTTGCAGCTCTTGAATCCATCAAATATGCTTTAGATCAAAAAGCTAAATCTATTGTTTTAATGTCACATTTAGGACGACCTAATGGAATTAAAAATATTAAATACACTCTGAAGCCAGTAGCTAATGAATTAGAAAAAGTATTGGGATTAAAAATTAAATTTTTATCTGATTGTGTTGGACCTGAAATTGAGCATGCATGTGCCGATCCAGAACCAGGTTCTATTTTTCTTTTAGAAAATTTACGATTTCATGTAGAAGAAGAAGGCAAAAGTATTGATTCTGATGGGAAAAAAGTGTGTACGATTATTATTAATTTTTTTTCTTCATTCAAATATTTTAATGAGTCTTGAACTATAATACAATGTAATTTATTTATTTCATTATTTATTTATCTATTATTTATAAGAGGATTTATTCTTATGTTATAATATTGAATATTACAATTTTAATTGTTTAAAAGTTGTTGCATTATAATCTATATATAACAAATTATATATTGTATATTATTTAAAAATCTTAAAGCCTTTCATTGTAATTTTTTATATTATGAATCCTAATAATTATTATTAGATTTCAATCAATAATATATGTAAAATAATTATGATTTTCTAAATATAAAAATTAATTTTGTGATAAAATTAGATCGTAGCAAGTAAAGATGAAGTTTCAAAATTCAGAATGTCATTAAACAAACTTGGAGATGTTTATATAAACGATGCTTTTGGTACTGCGCATCGAGCCCACAGCTCCATGTTGGGTGAAGGTTTTGACATTAGAGCAAGTGGCTTCCTATTAAAAAAAGAATTATTATACTTTGCAAAAGCTTTGGATAATCCAGAAAGGCCGTTTCTGGCCATTCTTGGTGGAGCCAAGGTTGCTGATAAAATTCAACTTATTAATAATTTATTAGATAAAGTTAATGAAATGATAATAGGTGGAGGCATGGCTTACACATTTTTAAAAGTAGTTAAGAATATGAAAGTAAGTGAGATTTAAATATTTATATCAAAAATAAAGTTTAGAAGTATTTTTAATTCATTTTTGTAGATTGGTAATTCTTTGTTTGATGAAGAAGGTGCTAAAATTGTTAATGATCTTATGACTAAAGCTGAAAAAAACAATGTTAAGATTCATTTACCCGTTGACTTTATCACAGCAGATAAATTTGATGAAAATGCAAGTGTTGGATCTGCAAATCTCGACAGTGGAATTCCTGATGGTTGGATGAGTCTTGATATAGGACCAAAGACTAGAGAATTGTTTGCTGGTAGATTACAATACAAATATTAAAATAATATTTATCACGCATTCGTTTTCAAATGCTCGATCATTTTATTGAATAACCTATGATAAACTGAAGATAAATTTTTACTTTTTTAGTAGTATTTTTTATATATATTTATTTTTATTAAATAACAAATTTTAATATTGTAAATTAATTTATAATTTCTTAATTATTAGTAACAAAATTATTGACAATTATGAATAATACTCTTCATTAATGATATTTAATTTTATTTATTATAAGTAGTATTAAACGATATTTTATCAGATTGACAAAATCTTCATTAATTAAATGTAATTAATTAAATTTATTCTGTGATTGTAGAACCAATCAAGAGAGCTAAAGTTATTATTTGGAACGGACCAGCTGGAGTATTTGAATTTGATAACTTTTCAAAAGGAACTAAAAGTTTAATGAACAATGTTGTAGAAGCGACAAAACGAAATGCAATAACGATCATTGGTGGTGGGGACACTGCTACTTGTGCAGCTAAATGGAAAACTGAAGATCAACTTAGTCATGTTAGTACAGGTGGTGGTGCAAGTTTAGAACTTTTAGAGGGTAAAATTTTACCAGGTGTAGCAGCCCTTTCTCCAGCATAATATGTTTGGAATTATATTAAGTGACTAATAATAATACATAAAAATGCATTCAAGAAATGAGATGTTGATTTTCTGTCTTTTAAAAGTAATTTATTTTGAACATAAACAAATAAATTTATCACTGTTATTAATTACACTAAATAATTTAAGACTTCGTATCTTTTGTTTACTTTCATACAACTATAAATTATTTAATAAAATGGCAGCGTGTTAAACTCTATACTGTATGGTTCCATATATAAAACAAAGAAATATAAATTTAGTATCAGTAACATATCCATGTACAAATTTTTAATGTAAAAACAATTTTAAAACAATTTTTCACATAACCGAACATTTTTGAGAGTCTAGTATTCCAGACATAACAGATGATGACAAATTAATTAAATCTTCAGGAGGTTGGCCAAGACTTTGCATCTCTTCCATTAACAATAATGTTTTTTCAAATCGTTTTTTTTTTAATTCTTCTGTATCATTTGGTTTTTCAGCTTCCAATTCACTACAAACCTAGTTTATTTGTTTTTTATTTATTTTTTTTTTTTTGAAGAAAAATACAAAAGTTATATTTTTAAATTTGTATTATTTACGATTAAATTTCAATATTTACCTTTTGCATAAGGTCCAATTGTTTTTCATACTTTACTACATCTGCAAAGGGCAAAGTTGCTTTTTTTTCATTAAGCCACACTGGATATTTATCAACAAGATCTTTTAAAGGCCCATAAAGAACATCTTTGGATAATATAGATTGCATCATTCCTTGCATAAATGGAAAAATACCTAATCCATCATCTTCTAATGAAGTTTGTCCAAACATATTTGCTAAATCTGACTCACTAATATTTGGTACATTCTTAAACAAATAAACAATAATATATTATCAAATAAATGTATATTCTTTCATTTTTAATCTAACCATTCGTTCAAATTTTCTTTGAATAAATTACTTGTAAAAAGTAATCACAGTTTTACACTTGGCATCATTAAAGTAACTAATTTTAACCTGTAAATTTTCAGTTGTCGATGATAAATCTTTTAATGCTTGACTTATTGCTGTTTGAAAATTTGGAAAATTATCTCCATCATTCGTTTCTGAAATTGCTCCTGCAACAGTTTGGGCTATTTTTTTAAAGGACTCTTTATTACCAGAACCTATAAATACATATACAAATTAATATAAAAATTAATTATTCTTGTTTTTGATAAATACCTTTTTGCATCAATTCTTCAAAATTTCTTTGAAATTGATCAGCAGCTTGCTTAATAAAATCTTCAGTCCATACTTCCTCAACAGTAACATTTTCCTTACTTGCATTTGATGAATCTCGTACTATTGTAGATACATTGTTTTCGTATTTTTTGGGATGTATTTGTTTGTCCAAATCTTTTAATGCACCTTAAAATTTTTTTAAATAGTACATATTATATAATAATTATCAATTTTATTTAAAATTTAAATTTGCATAATTACATAATTATATAAAATCAGTAACAATAGTTTTATAAATATCATTTAAAAATTGTTGATTAAATAAAATAAAAGATTTCTAAATTGTTATTTAAACACAAAATTGTTGTTATTTATGCGATACGTGGTTATGTTTGATAAGTGTTTCATATTATAATTTAATATTTTTAAATATTTTCATAATAGTATTTCATAACTTTATACGCACTATCCAAAAGTTCCTTCAACTCTGAATCCTCCTCTTCATCTACCACTTTTTGTCCATCAGACATAGTGTCTAAATGTTTTTGACTTAGTCAATTTATAGTTTTGCAAACGAGTTACGAAAGGTTATACCCTTCAAAGAAAATGTTTCTCTATCTAGTATGTGTTACGTTTGAGGTCGCTCCATTAGCTTTATGTTAATTTTAAAATAGATGATTTAATATTTAATTAAATAGATGATCTTTTCTTTAAATAATATTAACTTAATTATAATAACGTTAGAATAATAACAAAAATCTTACGGTTTAAATTATTTCATATATTATACCCGTAAGCATTTGATAAACTTCTATCGTAATAATGTTAATTATCTCTTTAATTAATTTTATAATGTTAATATGATACGAGAACTTTTGATAATATTTTTTATGAAATAATAAAATTAGAAAAATCTAATCGTTATTCTTTTTATTACGCTTAATGAAGCTGGATGATTGAGCAGAAAAATGAATTTTGTCATTTGAATTAAATAGGATAGGATATTTTAATTTTTTTAATAATTTGTTTTCGATTATTACTTTTTATTTTAAAACTATTCAATAAATAAATCTTGTACAGTACTATTTAAATCAATAAATCAATATACTTAGTTAAACTTATAACTTATCATTTAAATGGTTACTATATAGATATATGTATGAAAATATATTGTTTAGATCAAAATAAACGATAACATTTTTAAAAGATTTTATCTAAAATTTGGTTTATCTAAAATAATTATGATTCTATAATCTAAGATTTATTTAAACAGGTACAGTTAGTGATTAATTTTCCAATAAGCCATATTATATTGTTGAATTATTTTTTAAACTTTTATGTATTTATAATTTATAAATTATCTTTCTAATTCTAATTCTACATCAGCAAAAACTTTATCTAAGAGTTCATTGCATATGCTTTCTGTGTCAATACAATTCTCTGCTTTCGATTCTTGCAAATGTCTGTCCAAAGTTTGCTTCAAACAAAGTTCTGGTCGTCGACATTCTTTTAAAGCAGGATAATAATTATCATTTACTAATCCATTAAGCACGTTAAGAAGTTGTTCCCTAAAAATAAACGATTAAAATTATTTTAAAAATTTAATACATAATTTTTATAAAATTATTATGAATACCGAGTTTCTGGAAGCAAACTACTCATTGCAAGTAATCCACATGCTTGCTCTATTAAACCCATTTTTATTAAACTTAATTTCAAACCATTATCTTTGTCTTTAGTACATAATGATGATAATAAAAATGCTGACTTTATTTGTAATTTTTGTATTGGACTTTGCATGGTTCTAATTAAAACAGAGAAACCATCATTAACTTCCATATGCCTTAAACCAATTGCACATCCTCTCACAATACCTACAAGTACATATTTTTTAACATTTTTATTACTTTTAATTAATACTTTATTAACTTTGACAAAGAAAAAATAATATTTATAAATCGTTATAGACACAAAGCATTAATTTTGACTAATAAATAATACTATATAAATATATGTTTATCTTATCTATTAACTATTTTAAAAATTATTATGTATTTTTTCTTTGCATTAATATTAAAATTTTATTACATGAGACTGCATATAATGCTTTAATTCTTGATAATTCAGATGTATCAGAATCTATCATATTTAATAATATTGGCATGTAACCTGCTTCTAATACTTTTTCTTGACAATAGGAATTATTTTGTGTCAATTCTGCAATAAGATTAGCAACTCGCCACCGAATTCCATTATGAGATGAATTTAAACATATTCCAAAAATAGAAAATCCTCCAATTTTATAAAAATCATTTGCCATATCCATACTATCCGCCCAGTCTGTAACTCTGTCCAGAGCAGCTTCATATTCTGACGGATCATCTTCTTCCCGTAGATCCATTATATTTTTCAATAATTTGACATCTTTTTGCAGTTCATCAGTTATATTAACAGACATTGATGATAATGCCTCATCAAGAAATCGTTTGCGCTGGATAAAGAAATATTAATATAGGAATTTAAATACATTCTATAAATGTACCATAAATGTTATAAAAGTACTTTTTTAAACAAAATAAGAAATATAAATATATGCATAAACAGCATGAATATAAATAATATTATTGATTAGGCAATAAGTATAATCCTTTATAATCCTTCTGAATTTATAAATTTATCTAATGTAAAATTACTGTTTAATAAATTTAAAAGTAAATGTTATAAATACTTCACTTAATTTGAAAATTAAAATTTATGTTTTGTATTATTTTTATATTTTATTTTCTTAATAGCCTAGGTCTACCTCATCATCGATGGGATAAAAATTTGATTCATTGGGAGCATCTTCAACTTTAGTTGCTTCCATAGCAAACCTTAATAAACCTTGTAAATCAGCAGGTTGTCTTGGTTGATTAGGCAGTACTTCTATTTGATTATCATTATATGATGACCTCGGAGGTTCTATTGATAAAGGTCGTGTACTACTATTGAGACTAGCTTGTTCTGTACTTGATTTTTCCGTACTTTGATTTTGCAAATTTGTATTTCTATAATTGTTGATTAAAAAATATTTTAATTATTTTATATTTTTTAATAATTATTTTATTATGTAATAAATAGAAATAATAATACCTGTCCATATTTAATTGTTTGGGCAATGTAATTGTCTGCTTTACGCAATTAATTCAAATAACTTATTAATAATTAAAATAATTAATGAATCTGATTGATTATTTATTAAATTAGGATAACTATTTTCGAAACCGTATTTGAAATCAACTTAACCTTGTAGATATTCTTTTTTTCTGCTTTGTACATTTACATTACACACAATTGAACTATGGCAATTCCATTTACAATATTATGTTGGCTTTAATATTTTTTAGGTTAAGTTTGATAACTTCACAAAAAGCCAGGGGTACATCTATTCAAACGTTATCCTTACATATAAATTATACTTAATCTAATCAAAATTTTATTTGAAATTCAAATTCTATATTATATATAAAAATATATTAATAAATCAATTTAAACGAATACTTTTAAGAAAATTTGTTTATTAAAAAAATTTAAATAATTTATAATAGTAATAAAATATATTATCGTATTCAAAGGTTATATATAATGTTTTATTCTGTCCATCTATGTGTACAATGCTGATTTGTACAAACGTAATAAAGTCTCATTTCTTCTTCAGCTCTACGTGTTTGAGCTTGGAAAAATACTGCTTCACGATGATTACACTTTGGACATGGATGTTCTTCGGTTCTTGGTAAAGTTGGATCAGATATTACATCTGCCACAATATGGGTTAATTCGCTAAAAATTACAATAAATTTTATTAATAGATACAAATTGTATTTATTTTAAAGATTAATTATAAATTTATGCATTTTTAAAATAACAACTTTCTTACTCAATTTCATGCATAATTTTATTTACATATATGCAACTACTGTCAGCAAGTGTTTTAAAATCACAATTTCTGCACTGCAAAAAAAGAAATAAAAGAATTAGAAATGTAATATTTATAATAAAAATAATGTATATAACATATGAAATGTTTAATTAAACTATTATCAATTTACTTAACAATACTTACTGCATACATTAAAACTTTATTTTCCTTATCTTCTTTAGGGTATAACATATTATTACATTCTTGACAAAATTTAATACCTACAAAACCGGGTCCATCATCGTGAACACCATCATAATTTCCCATTTTTGACATATTTAATCAGTTCAAACATATATTATTCCTTTACGATGAAACAAAACTAATAATTTTTTAATTATATGTGCAAATTAAAATAATAATTAATTTTTTTGTCTAAACACAAGATTTAAAAATCAAAAATACTATACATATATTGGCGACCCATGTATATACAAATAATGATTTAGGGCGCTTTTTCAATGACAAAAGAACATAAAGGCATCATTTTAAACATAACAATACGAAAAACGCGCGTACATCTGTGTCACTGTCAGATTTTGAAATGAAAACAAGAATATCCAAACCTATGAGTATTAATTAATCAAAACCTAACTAAACAATTAAACGTTAAACATTGTTAAAAGTATTTTTAAATGAAACATTTAAGAAATAAATAATTGAACCAACAATTAATTAAAAGTGTCGATTAAATTCGGATATTTTAGATTTATAATAAAAATTAATTTTTAGAATATTCACGATATTCAATATTAAATATTGTAAATTTCAAAAGTGTCCTATAAAGAAAGATAATAAAAGTAATATAAGCATAGTAGAGAACATCTATTAAACGCTAGAGGCGCATAGAGCAACTGTGCATTATAAACTTTATCGCTTTTGCATAAAGTATTGATTATACATTTGATTCTCAAGTGTTCGTCTATTGTATTGATTTTGCTATTAACTTTCTAAATTTTAGCTTATGGCCACATTTTGTAAAGCCAGAGGCCTAGCCAAAAGCATCCGTTGACCGCGTATTTTTAGCCGCAATATTTTCCATTACAAGACATCGCGACATACACTTACAATGTTCGAATTACAGGGTACTTGTAAAAGCGGATAGTCTGAGAGGCGCAGGCGCACTAACACATCTCTACACTCCCACGTCGTCCGCAACACGTTTGTGTGCGCATAATGTAATATTAGTTCCATGCGCAGCAGCGCGCAGACTCTACCCTCTCTCGCTTTGCATTTATCCAGGTAAAAACTGTTCGCCTATCGTTTTCTTACATTTGCCTTGAGACTCTCGCGACTTTTATCGTGTGCTGCGCGAAAAGAGCGTATATCCCAGTTTTGCCTTCCTCATCTTTTCGCGTCTTTTAAGTTGTCATTTACACAATCAAGAAGCGATAATTTTCTTGGAGAGCGCGCTTCTTGCATTCCAAAGAAGCATGAGTGTATAAAAAAAAAATAAAAATAAAAAACAAAAATTTTATTCTTATTTTTAAGATATGAAATGTATCGGCCTACTTTTTTTAATTCCTGATCTTCTGCAAACTTCTTTTTAAATACGGGCAGGTTTGTAAGATGTTAATACGTAATGGCAAATGTTTTCTTTTATTATCTTTGTGCTTTATACTATTTTTTTTAAATAATTGCATGGCTTATAAATTAGAACTTATGTATGGAATGAATTATTTATATATAAATCATTGGTTCAATATATAAACCATATTTGCTTGAACCATGATTGAAAATTTTTTCTTTTTAAAAAATAATTACAGCTACATATTCCTGCACATGTAGTCATATTCATATATCATATCGTATATTTATATATATATATATATATATATATATATATATATATATATATATATACGTTGCGTGTGTATATTTTGTGTGTGCGCTATAAATACGTTGCGTGTGTATATTTTATGTGTGCGCGCGCGCGTGCATTATGTACCTACATAGAAATATGCATGCATGCATGCATGCATATGTATATATATATATATATATATATATATGCACGTATGTATATATACAGATATGTATGATTTAGTTTCCTTAACATCTTTCCTGGCTATTTTAATGGAAATAATTCTATAAGTGTACTACTATGGATTACTATCAATAATTAATATTAAAAACTACATAATATAATTGTTATCATTAGGTATGCTTATCGGTGACAAGTAAGTATCCAAAACTTTCATAAAGTAAAAATAATAAAAATGAAATAGTTCCATCATATGTAATGTAAAATATTTATGATAGCACAAGTCGCACCATACATAAGAAATGTATGACGGAATATAGATACTAATCTGTAAAATGTAATATGTTGAGAGCCTATTTATATTGTAATTAGTAAACGAATAATGCATGAGTATAATAAATGAAAAAACGTAGACGAGTATGGGATGTACATTGAAAAACTCGATTTAGTGTTGAGCTTGAAAACCACTCCCCCAGCTGCGATGCGAATGAATATGTTCGAAAATACCGCGCAGTGTCGCAGATGGCGGACAAGTCGCGAGAATTTCCTCTTTCCTCTCGGAGGCAGGCGTTGTTGCGTCGCCGAAGGGAAGGTTGCCGGCTCACACAGTGCCGCCAACGACGGTAATCCAACGTAAGCGCATGCGTGATTCGCGGCTGCCAGCCCCCTCTTCGTCAAGACGGTACTTTCGTTCTATCTCTGTCACCGAAAAACGCGTTTCGGCTTTGTGCGCTTCGTCTATCGTAGTCTCCCGTATACTCGCACGGAAACGTAGAGTCGATCGCGCGCGCCGCTTCAACGAAGGTGTGCACACAGCGAAGAGAAGAGCAGGATTCGCGCAATCTTCCCTCTCTCTCTCTCTCTCTCTCTCTCTTCCTCACTCCTTCCTTCCAATGCTTAATAAGTCTTTCTCGCTTTTTCTTCCCATTGCGCCTGCCTACTACCACATACATATATATTTCTATCTACCCACATCATGCGTACATAAACATATACTTGCACATTACGTACTACAAACATACTTCATGCATATACACGCGTGCACGCGTAGGAAACAAGAGAGAGAGAGAGAGAGAGAGAGAATGCGTGTGTGTGTGTATATGAATACGCCAAACCAACTGTCCTTTTATTTTTTTTCCCCAGATCTCGCACTCACTCTTCTGCCTGTGGCTGTAATATACTCTCACGTATACGCGTGCACTGAAACGCGTACATTCATACATACATTTGCCCCCGCACAGTGTATTAAGCCTATGCTGGTGCGCAAAGAGGCAGCGACGTACGTACGATATATCTTCCTCTCGTCGGCTACTCTACTAACGCGCCTCTAAGCGGCGGCAACGACGACGACGGCGGTGGCGGCGGCGGATGTGGTGCATGTTTTTACAGTCGTGAGAACTCCAAGCCACTGCGCACTCCTGAATTTTTAAGAGGCTTCGTTAACTCGTGAAGTTCAACACTCGTGTGGATCCGAGGAGTGAAAGATACGTCGCGTGTTTTTCTTATTTTCATATACGACGATATACGCGCGTGCCAAGGAGGAGAAGGATTTTTCTTTCATCCCCGAGTGGAATATCACAGCCGCCAAACTGGACGCCGTAAGTACCATAATTATTAAGAAAAAGAATAATTATAGTCGTTCTACCTAAGACTTTCTTACATCGCGTTAGAATACGGTCATTACGAGCGCGTGCTTTTCGCGTTCTTTTCCTTTACCTGCAATGCCAAGAAAACAGCACTTATTCTCGCTTGTTTATTGGATCATCGAGAATAGAACAATATTTTCTAAATCTTATAGATGGGTTATAATAGAAAATGCGAGTACTGCTGCCTACCTACCGCGTTCTTTTTTTCTTGCTCTCTCTCTCTCTCTCTCTCTCTCTCTAACTCACTTATTCTTCTGTGTCAATCTGTCTCTCTTGCGCACGCGGCGTACCCTCATCATGATCATCAAAGAAGCGACGCGCGATTTCGTTCATTTTTGTCTATCTCTGTCTCGCGCTTGCTTTTATAAAAACGAATGAACGGACGAACGAACGAACGAACGAATGAACGAACGAACGAACGAACTAACGAACGAACGGACGGACGGACGGACAAACGAACGAACGAACGAACGAACGAACGAACGGACGGACGGACGGACAAACGAACGAAAGAGTGAACGAACGAAGGAAGGAAGGAAGGCGATGTAGCGGCGCGTGGCAGCGAGCACATACGAAAAGTATGTATGGCCCTACGTACATCTCACTCTCGCTCTTTTTGCTTAGGCAAAGGCGTTCCTCTCTTTTTAACAGTATGGGCGCGCATAGTTTGCTTGTGTTTTATTATATTCGTGTGTGTCTGTCTGCTTTGTGATTGTGTGCGTACTTGCGCGAGGTTTGGGGGGGTGATGGCCCCTCGTGCCGCTGCGAGCGCAGTCGCTCTTCGACGGCGTCTCCCGAGATCTATTCTCTCTCTCACACACATACACTTTCTCTCTTTATGTGTACAAGTGTATGTGTACTCCACGTTCGGTTGGTCTCTCGTTCTCGGTCGCGGTGGCGGCTTCTTGCTCCGTCTTTTTATACTCGACGATGAGAAACGAGATGGAGAGAGACAAAGACAACAAGAGGACTCCCCTTTTGTGTACATGCCTCTTGATACACACACACACGCACGCGCGCGCGCACGTATATACCGACACACGTTCAAACAACATGCATATATATATGTATATATATAATATGCGCTGCTCGACTTGTCTCTCCCTCCCCCTCATCGTATGTGCACAGTATGTATTCACCGAAGCGCCCTCCGGAAAAGGAGATTTTTCTCGTTTTTCGCGCGGCGGAAATTTTTTCATTCGTTTACACACGGCGCTGTATGCGTATTTCATAGTATGTATGCACACGTATATATACGCAAGCACGCACATGCGGTCGCTGCTGCCGAAACACGTGATTTTTTCGGACGCCGCGCGGCTCTACGCTGACGGCGTCCGGTTTTGAGTTGCTCCATTCTTTATCCTAATTTTTCTTTTCTTGGCTTATTCTGAACACTTTTCTTGATTTTTTCATGATCATTTTCCCGTTCTCTGTCTCTCTTTTCCCTTCCCCCTTCTCTCTCTCTCTCTCCGTCTTTCTCTTTCGCTGTCTTTCGAGACACAGAAAGAGAAGAGGCTCGATGACTCTTCCGCCTCTTTCTCCCATAGTGGCATCGCTTCAAAGCCAGCAAGGGAATCAAAAGAATACCTAGATTGGGTAAAAGGAGGCGTTAGATGTCTGAAGTTAGGCTTAAAATCCTATATCTCATTCTCTGTATCTATCTGCCTTGCTACGAAAATCTGGCTTTTCCGTTTTTCGGAGAATTTTCAAGGTGAGGTAAAGACGGGCTCTTACCGGTGCGCGTCGTTTCTTTTATCGTTACCGTTATTTCGGCTTAGAAGTACTGTACACCGTTAATACTGGCTTCTACCTCTTTTCAAAGAAAGAAATCATCAGATCGACCTCTGCCTTATGTGTGTGTCGCATTGGTATATTTCTTAGTGGCGACCTATAGTTGCGTATACTCGTGCTCTTTCCTCCCTCTCTTTCTCTTCCTATCCGGCTCGCCTGCTCTCACACCCGTTCTTTTCCTCGCGGGGCAATTTTGACGCACGGAATCGATTTCTTTGTCGAGTCTTGAAAGCGCGCGCGAGGCGGTGAGAGAAAGAGGGAATTTAAAGATTCCTCGTATGCGCGCTCTATGATGTATGAAATCATGCGCGCGCGCCTGTCCTCTTGAATGTATTGCGTACATGCGCGAAAGAGAAAAGGATGAGGGAGAGCAAGAGGATTTTTCCCTCGGCGAATTAAACCGTATAGAGGAAAGGAAGGCGGGTGAGGGAAAGAAGACAAAGAGAGAAAATGCCCAAGTATAACCGCACGACGAGAAAACAGCAGTGCAGGGCAGACGAATGAAGTGTGTGCATACTCTTATATTCTATATAAAGGGGCGGGGGACTACGACGGCTACGAATACGGCTGAGAGAGTACTGAAATATACGTATAAATAAGCAAAAGAGAGAAGAGAGAGACAGTGATTGAACGCGTGTAAAGCGCCATATTGCTCTCATAGACTACTCGTGTGAAGAGGGGGTGAGAGTGCGGGTGAGAGAGAGGGAGGGATATATATTACGCGTAGTCAGAGATTTTTCGGAGCAATAGGTATAAATTTATACACGCGGGAGACGCTCGTTCTCTCAAGAGAGACGAACGGAAGCGTAAGAGAGAGGGAGAGAGAGAGAGAGAGAGAGAGATAGATAATGACTGTCAGAAAGAGGTAGTCGGTGTTTTAACCCTACAGCGCGTCGTCACCGTTGTCGCCCATATATACAGTTTTTGTCTTATTGTACGTATATACGTTTAAGTATAGTCAGACAGACAGATACATTTCGCATATAAAATCCGCTGACTTTCGTCTTTTTATTTTTTTGTGCACTTAGTCTCTCTCTCTCTCTCTCTCTCTGTCTGCCCGTCCGTCTGCCCGTCCGTCTGTCCGTCTGCCTGCCTATCTGTCTATCTATCTGTCTATCTGTCTATTTGTTTCTTTCCTCATCCTCTTACGGTAGCACTCTCACACTTTCTGCGCTACTATGAGAGCATAGAGAGCGCGCGAAAACAAACGCTCGCGGGCGCGCGGTTTCGCAGAGCGCCTTTTCTCTTCCTTTATCGCGTCGCGTCGCATAAAAAGACGTTGAGTGCCGATCGATCTCGTCTCTCTCCGCCGTACTCTGCCACACAGCCCACAGCCGCCTTTTCTCGCCGTCGCTCTTCTCCCGCTTTTTCTCTCTATCTCTCTCACTCACTCACTGACTCGTTGCCGGATCCCCTCCGATCCTCCCCCATCCTCTTCCTCCTCCCGCCCTACCCATACCTCCTCGCTAACTCCCTCCGTCCTTCCTCGCGGCTCGCCGCTTATCCTGTCCTTGTCGCACTCAGTACTATCGGCCACAGCGACCGTGCGCGTGTATGCGTACGCACATGTGCATGCATACAGGACCGAAGCTGAGAGAGGAGGGATTTTTGTTTGTTTCCTTTGTTTACTTCGAAAATCGGAGCGAGGCTGCTCCTTTTACTGACGAGAGGGCTGAATGCGAGAGAGAGAGAGAGAAAGAGAACCGAAATGAGTGAGTGAGCAAGCGAGAGGCGGGAGGGAGGGAGAACCTTCAGCTCCTTCACCGAAATATTTTTCTCTTTATTTATATGAATCTTTATATTTTCTGAGGAACATCGCTCCAGTGTAGGTACGCCAGAAACCTTTCTGTCCATTTTTGTAATGCCACTTGCCGCCACGACTTTAAAGTTAAAATGAATACGAAACCTTCAAGATGCAGCGTTGGATACGAAATATTTGCTTAACCCGTAATATCGAACTTTTTATCGTGTTGTAGTCTGGCACTCGACAAAATCCTAGGAATGTTAGTGACTATGAATTTTGATAATTTAGTCAAGAATGAATGAGGAATAATCATAAAGAGCAAACCCTTTATGAAATGCACGCAATTTGCACTCTTGATTTGCTTTTGTTAGAGTCGAGGAGACGTGCTAAAGAAAGCATCGCACTTAACCATGGGGTGGGTTAATATTACTTCATGATTCCAAATATATGATCCTATGCTTTTCCTCCCGTGGCTTCTGTCAGACCGCCGCAGCGCAATTGTGTTACTGTCTTATTTATACCTGTCAATCTATGTGCCATCTCTCTCATTTTTGTACAGAAAAAGGAGCCAACATCCACCCGACCAATAGCAAACAAATTTTAAGATATAAAAACATAGCCAAAGTAAAGTTCCTCCATCATTGGCTAGAAACTAAGCCTTGATTTCTTTTTTCCGTGCATATAGGCTTTAGTTCGATATGCCACTTAAATGGCATTTCGTAGATTGAATACAGATATAGAGAGTAGACGGACAGGATTTTTATATCCGACCGTTAAAAAACTTTTGACGCTCTCTTGCCTTTCTTCGTCTTTTCTTCTTTTCTGATTTTCAGGTTTTTTTATTAGAAAGCACACGTTAGGCCAAATGCGTTCCTACACATTTTTTAAGAACACAGAATAATATTGACGAAAACATTCATATTACATTTTTAATTCTGACAACTTTACCTGTGTAGATATAATCCATACGTGTTACTTTATTATACGAGTTTTTATTTTCGTTACTATATCTTGTCTTCATAAGCAATTACTTTATTATTATTTTAATATATATCGATTTAAAAATTATCCTTTTTCGTATCAAAGAATTATAACATTTCGTATTATGCTTTATTATTATATATATTTAATTATTTAACGCTAGTTTTATTAAATGAAAACTTTGAACTACAAGTTTCCATACACTAGCACGCCTACACATATTTATATATTTAATTACAAAGTATGATTCATAATTTATTTGAACGATTGTCTAAAGATAAACTTTATTCCATTGAATCTATAAATAATCGTAATTAAAATTTTAAAACCTCTAAATTATAGCCTCGTTTTATCCAAATTTTTAAACATTATTTTGATTTATGCTTAACATTAATTTTCTTATAAGAGTTTATTCAAAATGTACACTTCGAATTAGTTGAAACTCTGACACGAACCAGACAAGTTATTGTTTATATTATCGATTTTTAATGATGACAATGACGACGACGACGACAACGACAACGACAATGACAATGATAACGACGACGACAACGACGACGACAACGACAATGACAATAATAGCAATAATTTTGTAGATCCATTGATATGCATGATTCTATCACACTGGGATACACATTGTAATTAATTTATTTAATATGTCTAGCATCGTTAGAAAATGAAAAATCAAAGACAATGAGATACAAAGTGCTTAGATACATAAAAGATATAGTTTTAATTATAGTACTACATATGTATACATGTGTGTATGTATATGTATATATATATATATATATATATATATATATATATGGTTTTACTCTTAATTATTAATTGCTAAATTTGTATTGTTCTGTTACTATTAAGCTTACTTATTTTAAAATCCACATTAATATGATAAAGTTGTGCACTATTCGTATGAAAGAACAAAGGCTTGGCTGTTTTATATAATGAGATACGAGGGTTAAGCTTGTATGCGGTTCATGTTTGCACGGACATTAGTCCAGCCGAGATTCCCATAAAATCATAAATAAGCATAGCATTTTGTACGTCCATCACTTCCATCGCTATGATTTTCATTTCGCGTATAATTATTAATTCTACAAAATGACAAAATGCAGACTGCCCCATAAATTACTTATAGTCTCAAAAGCTACTTTGACAAACTAAACAATATATCATTGTTCTTGCAGATAAATTCAGACTCGTTTATCGACGACCAGATGATGGACTCGGGCACGACACCGCCCGCCCAGTCGTCATACCCGGGCGGTGACCGACAGCAATTCTGCGTCTCCTGGAATTCCCATCAGTCGAATATGCACAGTGCATTCCCGAAGCTGTTGAGCAGCGAGCAGTTCGTTGATGTGACGCTGGCCTGCGACGGGGGGTCGATTAAGTGCCACAAGGTCGTACTTTCGGCTTGTAGCGACTACTTGGAGCGACTGCTCCTCGAGATACCCTGCACGCATCCCATCATCTTTCTCAGTGACATGCGCATGTGGGAACTCCAGGCTCTCGTCGAATTCATGTACCGAGGGGAAGTATACGTCGAACAACAACAACTTGCCAAGCTCATGCAGGCTGCCGAGGCTCTACAGGTACGGATGCTGCTCTCCTTAGCTTGACTCTTTCGTCGGATCGTCCGCTGATTACGTGCCCGTTATAGTTTGAATTATTTTAAACGAAAATTGTGCCAATCTTATTGTTTAAATACAGTATTGTACTACCATATTGGACTGATAAATTTGATTAGATAGTTATCTGTGTATTCAACTTCGTATTTATTCTGAAATAGATAAGAGATATTGAATAATAATATGGCTTGTGAAAAAATTATTTCCTACTTAAAAACAGAACAGCTTCTTATATTTATCTTCATAGATAGTTATTACTCAATATTTTCTCCAATGTTCAGTTATTTCTTAAAAATGTGACAAAATTAAAAAATATAAATGTCATTGAGAGTCAAAGAACTTATAAGTGCAATTTGAATAAATTAAAAATAACAATAAAATGGAAAAAAAATTTAATTTTCCAATATATATTTGATTATATCAAATTATATTAAAATATAGCATTTTGAATTTGTTTGCCTCGTATATATTGGTGTATTGAAAATTAGGCGCAACAGTTTTTTCTTATTATTATTTATTATTATTATTAAATATTATGAAAACAAATCAACTCATTAAGAAAGAAATTAAATTATTATCTATGTAAAGTTATATATGTAATCGGTTTATAGATTCGACTATTATTTATTTTCATGTATTCGAGATACATCTAACATTGACTTTTACAATATCATCTTTATTAGGTGGACGTTAAAGAAGGGCTTATATTAATATATATATAAATATAAATAAAATAAAGGAACGATTCTTGAGTCATTACTCACTCACTCAATTCACTCATTTTTCAGAATTTGATTGTATTACAAATTTAAAGTAAATTCATTCATTTTATTTTTTATAAATTATCAAAAATATTACTTTACCATTCTTTTGTTTTAAATATATTAATACATTGAATTGATATTTTTTACAATGGTAATTTATTGCAATATTTAATAGATTGTGAATCGGGTTTCACATCAGTATAGTCAGTTAATGAATCACGCTACGTACGAATAGGTGGAAGATTTTATTTGTAAGATTAATTCTTAAAATGACATAAATTGTTATGCCATATTTTTAAGTATTTGAATGTTTTATTTCTTTCATTGCTTATATTCATATAAAGCTTTTTTATTACAACAATGATTCGCTTATTTAACTAAAAATTAAAGAAGGCAATCGTAGATACGCTATCTTCAAATAAAAACATACTTTTGTTCTTAAACTTTATCTTTATGCATTTGTATAGAAAAATTATTCAAATATTACGATTAAGAATTTATTGAGAACTGCAGACAAAATATAATAACAGTATACAATCGTTAAATTTCTTTTCGTCCATATAAATAATTATTCTTATAAATATTGATAATTGAATTATTAATTTATGTAGAATGAATTAAATTATATTTTAATTATCTGTGAATTGTGCGCGCATATGTAAACATATACGTGACCGTGTGATGGGATGCTTCCATTTCCTTAAAGAACAATTATTTAAAGACTTAAAGCTTTTTAATCCATACATTATTAGTCAATAGATAATAAGTTGATCGAGTAAATAATGACTGAAATAAATTTTTGTTTTTATTTTACTCTATAGGTTCGTGGTCTGTCAACCCAGGGCCGAGACAGCAATGGTACGACTGACACCGTAACACCCCAGTTAAGCACCGGTGGTGGCAATAACACGACTCCTGTAAAACCCTCACCTCCAAAGGCAACGACCGCCACATCGTCAACGGTCTCGAATGCGGGCCCTGTCGATTTCCCACAGTGCGACGACACCCAATCCAACGACGATGGCTCTGAGTCCGACTTCCTCAGCTCTAGTGGTCTCGCGAGCAGTTTACCCGCGGCTCTTACGGCAACTCCCGGACCCCAGGACCCTGCAGTTGCCAATCCCCTTAGTGCTACCAACTTCATGAAGATGGAACACAGCGAGGCACTACAGCATCTCGAGCAAGCCCTCAGTGCCTGCGAAGCTACCCTCACCGAGTCCCAGGGCATGGTAAAGATGGAGCCAGATGAACACCAACTACTGGCACAACAGGAAAAGCCATACTCTATAAGAGCCGTACCCCCTGGTAACTGCGGCAGTCCTTTTCCCGCTATAGAAGGTAAATAATTCAACGTATCTTGTTTATACAAGTAATTTTGTGCTACTTGCACATTTATTCTAACAATTTTCTATTTTTATGACCGAAAAAGCCATTTATTGCAATGTTATTGAAAGGTTTTTATTTAATTTTCAAACCCGCATTTTAATTTAAAAAAAAAAATTAAATATAACATATATTACGCAATTATCAATACTACTTAGTATACCAAATAATTTAATACATTTAATAATTATTTTTTTAAATGTTTTTTTAATAAATGTTACAAAATTTTATTTTATTTGTTCTTAGTGGTGCTTGATTAAAGTAGTTTACACACATGCCCTGTTACATATGGAGAGTCCGAGAATCTATAAAATTCTCGCTGAGTGCCAATATTGGTTGCATGCAAATACGTTAATTGAAACGTAAAGTGTTTCAGTGATTAACTGAATTGCATGATATTTCTATTTACCTAAGCACTTTAGCCTTTTAATAAAACAATATCATGAAATTATATGTACGTATCTAATTATGCTTCTCCATAACAAATATTTCAATAACCATTTTAATTCTGTTACAATCAAAAAAGTTAGATCGAAAAGTATTTAAAACGTATAAGTATATTTCACAACTAAAAATGATTGCCTTAACGTTTTATTTAACAAGTTAAAAATTCTGATATACATTGAAGAATTTTCTGAGATGACTTTCCATTGGAAAAAAATAATGTATTGATTCATGTCGGCAAAAGAGTTACAATAGAGTTACAGAATTTAAAAGAAATAAAATTATTATATTAGTATATTTTACAAGCATTAAATTTATTAGTTCATTTTATTTCTGTTCACTTGGTTTGCTTATGCCAAAGCTTTTAAATTTATTAAATTAAACTAAATTAATATTAAAATAATATTAAATAAAATGTATATAAATTAATTATAATTGAAATTAAAATTGAATTATTAAGATTTAAGATTGATTTCATATATTAATAAATGAGACTTAATAAATGTATTAGAGTAAATATTAGATTGGCTAAGTAAATAATATATATAATTTTAGTTATTTACGCCAAATTCCTTTATCATAATATATATTCGATATGATAAAATGAATAAGATATTATTTTATGTGTTTATTAATTAATTTTTACATTTCATATTATAAGCTATGTCAATACCGCCTTTACATCAGCTATTTTACAATCGCTGAGTAAAATTTTAATGGAAATGAGCAATTGCCGGATTAAATGTGCTTGAAAAAAGAATATGTTTGAGAAGAGCATGCATGTGTAGATGACATAAACATTTCATAAAATTCTTTGAGTTTGCTTTTACAAAATACGAAAGTTTATGTTAAAGTTAGTTAAAATGCTGCATTCGATAAAAATGTTATAAGCTGAACTAATTGATGAAATGATTCACTTTCAGGTTACCAAAGACGACAGCGACGATCCGAAGCAGAACTTAAGCAGGCTTCCGATCTCGTAGCGCGTGGTATGACCTTCCAAGTAGCTTCCGAAAAATATAACATCCCCATCAGTACAATTCGATTCTACATGGCACGCAAGGGCATTCTACAGAGGCGAAAGCGTGGCCGCGGCTCAAGCCAGGTTGGCGGGCCCAACAGCCAGCCCAGCAGTCCCGCGTCACCACCCTTCCATATGATGAACTTCCGCCTGCCGGAGAGCCTCAACTCCAGTCTACAGTAGTGTTACGCGGTGCAGTAGTAAGTTTTGTAGAGCCAGAGCAGAGTTCGAGGAATGTATTGAAAGAAAAACAAAAATGCAAAAAATAACGTAAATGTGTCGCCCACAAACTAGAGCTGTTTCGAAGACGCGCTTCCCCTTTTTTCCCTTCCAACGAGTTTTTCTTCCATGCGTGTGTCAGAGCGCACACCAAATGAAATCGATCGAGCCATTCTTATTATGATTTTTACTTTGCCATTACACATCTGCTGCGAGAGCTATTATTATTACTGTATCAAAATACTATCACCATTACTTTACTATTTTTACTTTTTAAAGTACTTTTTAAAGCGTATCTGACATCTATTTCTATTACTATTATTATATCGAGTAAACTCATGACTTTACATACATAACACAAATACAAGATATAATTTTATGAGTCTAGAACAGCTCTATGCCGTGTACATATAAATTAATATTGTATGAAACAAAAAAGTAAGAGGACAAATTGTATGAAAATCCGTCAGGGTGGCCACAGCACGAGGCAATCAACGTTCATTATTAAAGACGCCAATGCACAGGAGACCACCAATAAGGAGTTTTCGTATATGTGGGGTCTTGAATCAATGTAGAGGCTAATGTTTACGTATTCTTTTTTTATATATTTTGTTATTTTATACCTTTATCAGTAATTGACATACACTCGTATATACTCGCGTCCATTTACGTATTATTGCCCCTGCTGGCGCATACGTGCGTATACAGCACACGTTTGTAGACTTATATTATTTATTGCTCATACTCGCGCTAATCATCATCACGTATTATAACGAATGTACCCGCCATCACTCGGATCTCGCGACGCGTTCACTCGACGAAAGAGAATGAATGATTAAAAAAGAAAGAAGGGATTGATTTCCTCGTGCTGAGTTCGCAGCGACGAAAACCTGTAACGTTAGGCTCTCCGTATATTTTTTTTTCTTCTATTGTGCACTTTACTTAGTGACAGATTATGAATGAGGAACCGAAAGAGGAAAGAGAAGGAAAATGAATGAGGGGAATTATACAAATAATATTAATATTAATAATTGAAATAAACAAACGGCGATGAATATTATAGCTACTGCGCCGGAAACTTTGAATTTCACAGCGCGTGTAATTTTTTTAGGTGCGCCTACCTTACTATTAATTATCCATTATTATATTATAATCATTTTGTAAGATATATATACGTTCTTATATTGTGCGTCCACTGGTACAATGCGTGTGACCTTGCTGTGGGCCGCTTTTTTCGATTCAACATTCTCAAGTTCCTGCTCGACTCGAGGCTCTCGCATTTTGTCACGATGGACGGGTTCTTGTCTTATGTATTTACTCAATTTTTATTTTTTTTTGTTTTTTTTTTTAATTTTGTTTTTTTTTAGCAATGAATGACAGTCACTATGTACAAGATTGAGAAACACTCGGTATTGCCCGCGCCTTGTAATCATGTAACAATTGTAATAACGTAGCGAAACGGCGAAATCCTAACTCTCTGTTTGATTGTGTCTTCTCGTTCTCTCCTCTCTAGCATAGATATTTTTGTAGCAGTACATATACATAAATGAAAATTAGATGGCGTAAACTTTGTAATCAACGTTAACTTTATAAAAGGAGATTCAACCCGAGTGTTTCCAAACGATGTGAGATTTTTATTATATATATATAATTTTTTTTTATTATTTTTTTTATATATATAACGCGTATACAAATTTTTCTTTACAAGAGACTCCATTTTGTTTGTTTCTTAACTATTATGAGATTTTGTATGTAACTATACAAAGTAAAGCAACAATATAAAAACGCGTTTAGGGATTGCATACGTAATTACGTATGTATAATATTTCATAGCGAAAGAGATTTTTTCTCACGATTTGGTAGAGAAAGAGAGAGAGAGAGAGAGAGAGAGAGAGAGAGAGAGAGAGAGGTGAATGCGAATCTTGCAAAAGCTCTGTCAAATATTTACGCAGAATCAAAGTAACTGAATGCAAAAAACGTCTTCAACAAAGGTCTAAAACTTATTCCTGTAATCAAGTATATAAGAAGTTTTTAAAAAGTAAAGCGAAATAAGTGAAAAAGAAAGGGATGTTTTTTCGCGTTGGAAAAACTCGGAGTCTGCCTATAATATACAGCTTCGGATTAAGCATCACGCGCGCGATAAAAGGATAATACACGAGAAACGCAGAGAAAATTATTATCGATGCTTTTATCGTATTTAGTGTACAAAACAAAAATGAAAAAGTAATGAAAGAAAAATAAATAAATAAATAATAATTAATGAGACAATGAAAGAGAGAAAGAGAAATAGAAAAAAGGAGGAGTCATTAAAAAACAGTATATTGAAGCTATTCTTAGAGACTCGGCCGTATTGATGATTATGACGATTAAGCAGGAACAACAATAAGAAAAGATGTCTGCCTAAAATTATTCGTCATTTTGTCAAATTACGGCGCACTGCCTTTTCTTTGATGATTCTGATGATATATAAACACATGACAAGAGCAGCAGCAGCAGCGCAACGATGCCGGCAAAACTTTTGCTAAGGCCCCAATAACCCTTTCCTTACCCGCCCATCCTAAATCCCTTGTTATAACGTAAAATAGCCTCGTTCAGAACATAGCCATATTTTTCCATAATCGATGCAATAATCAAGCAGAGTACACTGAATAAATAAAAAATATTACAGTAAACCGTGAGAGGATGACAAAAT